CAAGGTGTATGGTACTCAGAACAGAGCAAAAATTAAGACTGAAGAAATCACAGAAGATAAGAAATACTGCAAGCAGCTGCTTAGCCAGAGCCAGGGAGTGATCAAGATTCTAGGTGATAAGACACCTGAATGGAGCAGGAGCTCAAGGAGTGTCTTCTTCCCGCCAAGAGGCTGAGCAATAAGTATTGTAATTAAGGCTTTAAAAGGCTTAATGAATGGGGGAGCAACCTTCCAGGTTTGCCAAGGATTCTATATAAAATGCCCTGGTAATTTCATAGCATCAATGAAAGCTATCATATTAGTGTGGGTTCTCATGACCAAATATATATATTCAGTTCAAGAAAAGGGGGCTGCATTTTTACCAGGTGGGTTGTTTTTCAGGCTTGGAATAGGAACAAAGCCCTTGTCAGGTACTAAAGTCTAACTCCAGAAAGCCCCAATTCATCACACCCACCACCAAAGCACTGTCTCAATTTTCATTTGATTGACAGTAACCAGTAACCACACTTTCTAGAGTTAATAAGGACAAACAGATTGATTAGATAAGAGAACTGGCAGCATCAAAGGGATAAGAAAATCAGACAGCCAGAAAGATGTAGTGGTTAAGAGTGAGGAGAGCCAAATTCTAGTGCACTTTCAGCCAAAAAAGCTCACCTGGTATCAGCCTCATAAGATAGACCAGACCAGAAAATCAACTCCACAGGAAAATTAGAATCATATTTTATTGACTTAAACTATAATAACAAATCTTGCAAGAGTGATTGTGATTTTCCTCCCCTCCCTTCCTGAACTCACCCAGTGAATCCAGGAAGAGTCCTTCTGAGTCTCTTCTTACTATTGTCTTTGTTCACAGGACTTAGGGAATTCTCCTGTTCTTTTTTGTTCTTTTTTGTTTACACACAGTTTCTCAATATTTGCATCAAATTCCCTGGCTCTCTATCCTGCTAATCATGGACCATTTCTTTCCTCTCAGCTCAAGAACTAGTGTAGTACAATAGTGAGGGTATCATTTGAAAATTATTTAAGTGTGGCTCAGAAGTTTCTTCTTTATGTAGAGAAAGTAATGGAGATAACCATGAATATGTACTGATTTAGATGTAGGGCTAGGAGCTGGGAGACCCAGGTTCAAGTTCACAAAAGATCACTGGGTGACTTGGAGGCTTTCACTCTCTAGTAGCCCAACTTACTACATAGAATTGTTGTGGGGAAAAACAGGTGGACAAAGCAGTATATACATTGCCTTGAGCTCCTGTAGAAAAAAAAGTGGGCTATAAATCTAATAAATAAGAATGAAAGCAAATACTGTTCCTGGTGGTTTCAACGAAGTTCTGCAATTGAATAGTTCATTTAGAGATGGAAATAGAAAGCCAACTTCTTTAGGTTTCACAGGCCTATGGCGAGGAAGAGTTATGGCACTCAAAAGCCTCTTTTGATCAAGGTGGGCCTGCTAAGGGTCTTAGCATTTCATCTCTAGAAGCTATGGGGCAGCTCCCCTGTGGAGAAAGTGTGCTGCCAGCTCTCCACTTTCCATGAATCTTTTACATATTAGCTGATGCAGAACAGTTGTTCCTTCAAGCCACATACAGAATAGCAAATAAAAATATATCGGAAGCTGTCATTTAATCCATCTCATTCTGTGTGGCTTACAAAACAGTTTTCTGGAGTCTGAGTAGGAATCTTTTCCATTTTCTTCCACCCTACTCCCCCGCTAAGATGCAGAAAAAGAATCCTGTGTGATATTCGGACTGAGCAGAAAAATGATTGGCTGAAAGATATCCAATGATATTCCATGGCTAAAAGTAATCTGGATCTCTTTGGTTCTTTTTTAACCACTTCACCAACATGTTGTTCCTACAACTATCTTTGTATGTTAATGTTCCTTCAAATCTTATGAAGTATCCCAAATGCACCATCCATGGCACATAGCAGTCTTTTCCAAATTATCTATTCTTGGCAGAGTAGAGAATAACTCTTCCATGCAAGAAGAAGCTCACCATGCCCCAACCCAATCTTCTCCCCACCACAGACCCTGTAGATTTGAAGCAGTACACTGAGTTCTGTGCACACCAGACTTATCATATGCAGCAATACTCAGTGATTATTATTTTAAGCACAGCTTTTGAGTCTATCTAAGTAGGAATCTCTGGAGGAGAAATGAATGGAGTCACTTCATTTTTACTGGCAGTAAGACTGAGCAAATGAAGAAAAAAAATAATGAAACAAATTGTATGGCATACTAATGTGCTAATGGCATGTTTTAATACCACCCTGTGGAATCAAGTGGTCCTATGCTCTGATTGACTTAAGAAGGGGCATTGTTTTCTTCCAAACAGTTAATGATGGGCAACTGGTCATTGAAGTTGATGGGTCAACTGGAAATGCTGCAAAGTGGATACATTCATAGAGTTTTTCTTAACTTCCAAAATACGTTGATGAAAGAACAAAAGCCATAACACACTGTTCATTTTTTTATTTATAAAGCAATCCTGAAATTACTGAACTTTCAAAAGTCTTAATAAGAAAATGATGTTCCAGAAATCCCTTCTATGCCTATAATGCATCTCCTTACTCTGAAGTATATCACATCAGGGTTAGCTTTGGAGCCTTTATGCAGAACTGAGCTTTATATGCAAAATATATAAAGGAATCCAGTTGACTTTGAGCCTACAGTAGGAAAAACAATTGTCATTCATATCTGAGTAAACCCATGACAACCCATGACTTTTTAGATATCTACAAAGAAATTAGAGGACAACAGGTGATCTCTTTGTAGCAATGAATTCTTAAATTTATTATTGCATCTCTAAACTTACCACAAAAATTATGGATGCTGAGATTTCCTGGGCCCAGAAGAGCTTCTGAGAACAAAAATCACAGTATTCTATTTTGTGCATCAGCAATATATGATGCAGTGTCTGGTGGCTTCATTGGAAGCACAGTGATATTTTGCATCTGCTATGCCAACTTGAGGCCAATATTATAAGTATAATTAACATGAACGTCACTCCTACACATTTTGCCATAATTAACATGAATGTAGCTCCTACAGATTTTGTCACCACCCAGAGGGCTTTGGAGGTCAACATGGTAAAAAAAAGTTTATTATTGCTCTTATTACATTTTATAATATCATATACCGGTAGTTTATCCACAGAAATATAAATAAAACAAAAGCATAATATAATGCACCTGCTTTCAGGCAAAGTGCAAAACCCACAGATTACAAAACACATGCGTGCACACACACACACACACACACACATCTCCAGTTATCCATAAACGACTCCCTGGTAAGTTCTTTCAAAACTATCTGGAAACAAGGTAAGTGAATACACTCAGTCCTAAGCATCTTCAGGATCAGTTTAATCCCTAGTGCTTGTACCTCACTGAATGACTGCCTTTGAAATGAACAGTTGCCATTCAGAAGAATGAGAAAAACAGCACTGAACTCAGCAATACACTTTAACTACTCATGGCTTTGACTACCATATTGGAAGAGAAGCTTTGCGAGAACATGAATAGAGTCCCTGTCTAAAATTTACAGGTCGTCCTCAATTAGTGAACAATTGGTCTGACAACTCTAAGCATTGCAGAAAATCACATGATCATGGCAGTCTTATGACCTTATTTCCCCTTTGGTCATTAAGTGAATCCTCACAGTCATTAAGCAAAACATTATGTGACTGCAATGTACAATTTTACTTCCTCTTTCTCTGTTATCTTGGCTTATTGTAAGCCATTTGTGAAATGCCCGACTTGCGATCATGTAACCACAGGATGCTATGACAGTTGTAAATGCTGTTTTTTTAAAAAAAAAACCATCATACCTACAAAGGATCAGTAAACAAGGCAGTCAGTAAGCAAAGGATACCTGTACTAAAAGCAGCCATATGGATACATACAGGTTGCAAAGCATCACTTTCAACTAAAAATGAAGTGTTACATGTCCCCATAACTTACTCACAGGAGTCTCTGCAATATCTATTTCCTTATCTATAAGGCTACTTCATTTGTACATTATAAAGGAATCATCTCCTATCAAACATTCAGCCTGAACGTAGAAAGGAAAGGAAAGCTAAAGTTATAGACCCTCTGAGAATATTTGTTCAAGTAAGTACATGGGACTAATACATGAAACTCCTTCATTATTCCTGAATTTTTTATTTCCAAAAGTTTTAAATGGCAGAGCGGAGCAGATTAATAGACTTAAAAGAAGCACTTTCTCCACTGAGAGGCTAAAGAGCAATAATCACGTATAAGAAATAGAACCAGCAAGCATCTAAAAGTGACTACCCTGAATCTGGATTTGATTATCAATCTTCATTTTGCACAGGAAATTAATTTTAGGTCCCTTGCGACAAATGATTATGATTTAACCAGCTGTAATTTAATTAAAACTTTATCTACTTAAAAAAACTCTGGAAGGCTAGAGACATGCAGGAAACATATAACATTTTAAATGACTCATTTGTCCCTAAGTGAATTCAGGAAGCGATCACAAGTTTCTAAGTTACAAAAGTAAGAAAAACAGTTCCACTCTGCCCAGCTCTCCCCTCCCCTCCATTTCCTTTCCTCTATTGCTTCTTCTGTATCAGACCGCAGTTCATAAAATCTCATTAAGTAGGTATTGTATCCTGACATCTAAGAAAACACCACAAACACTAGTGCAACATTGGCATGATAATTATTCTTTTCATTGTCGTTTCGAAGAGGGAACATAGGCCATTCCTTAGGACAAGGGAGGACAAGGTGAGACCTCTACTTACTTTGGAGGTTCTAAGAGTGTTTACCACAAAAATCGATGGCATGGATTCAAATCATTTTGAGGAAATAAGCCTCTGTAAACTGTAAAACTGAAAATAGGTTTTGCTCTGGCTTAAGCACTTATAATGGGATGAAGAGCTGTCACCTGCTTATGAACTCAAGACATAGTTTTGGGTGCTCTTCTCTTAGTAAATTGTTATAATCACAATTTGACTAAGATATCAGGACAGACCTACCTGCACTTGGGCCTCTCTTCTCATCAGATAGCGCATTTTGCCCATGATACATTGCTGCAGCTGTTCCCATGACATGGCTCTATCTTCTCTCATCAGTAGCGGAGGGCCAAACCTGGGGGGGAAACATGCATGATGAGGGGCTACATTTGTTCTAGAGACATCTGCAAGAAAGTGAAGCTTTAATTATAGGCAGTCCTTGACTTACAACCACAACCGGAACCAGAATTTCTGTTGCTAAGCAAGGTGTTAATTGAGCTGTGCCTGATTTTATGACCCTTTTTGCCACTGTTGTTAAGTGAATCACTGCAGTTGTTCACCAGTGAATCCGTTGCTAAGTCAACCAGCTTCCCCAATTCAGTTTGCTTGCCAGAAGCTGCTTGGGGAGGTTGCAAAGAGTGACCCTGGAACACCGTATCTGCCATACATACATGCTGGATGCCAAGCATTCAAATTTTGATCATGTCACCATGGGGATGCTGCAATGGGCATAAGAGTGAGGACTGGTGATAAGCCACTTTTTTCAATCTCACTGTACCTTTGAATGGTGGCTAAACAAATTGTTGTAAGTCAAGAACCTGAACTTTCATTCACCTATGAAGACAAGCCATGCTAAATGATACTCATCCACTGAAAACAGTATCAAGACACAGCAAGCACTGAAATTGGTACATTCATACAAAAGACATTAAACTTACAAGCAAAACAAGGGCTTCCCTCCCCCCCTTACAGAGAACGATATAATTAAACTACTCATATGCCAGCTTGAAAACTGAAATTTTGTTTTTATGTAACCCTGAACATACTGATGATTAAAACATTTGTTTTTCAAAACATGAAGTTCAAAGTACATTCTAAAATAATTAAGCTATTATTAGGCCACCCACAAAGCTAAAAAAAATCTGGTGCAGAGAAAAAGGCAAGAGAAACACCTAAAAAAATAAGGAGGAAGATATTTTTGCATAACCATAATAAGATGCAATAATTGGAGAGTGCATCCTGAGCTATCTTCCTGACAATGCAAATCCCACAAGATATCATTTCTTCAAATCTGCAGTTACAAATAAAGTAACTTCCACTATGCTTTCAGATTACATATTATCTTTACTCGTAAAACTGAAAGGATTCTTAACAAATCTGTGCCTCTTTCATCTCTGTCTTTTTGGGTGGGGTAAGGTAATAATTCATACCTTTTGTTGAATGCTATGTTTTAAATAGTTTTTTTCCCAGGTAATTTTTATTAAAGATTATAGTTACAATTGTAAAAACTAACAAACTAATACAAAATTAGAAAGAAAAAGTAAACGTGCAGAGTAGAAAAAGATATGAAGAACAGAAAGAAAGAAAAAGAAAAGTAAATATATAGCAAAGGAAAATAAACACAGTACATAAAGAAATGTACCTTCATCACACATATAAACAGTTTTAATAACTTTTCATCTCTTCCTAAATTACGATAAGGACAATCCCTTCTTCTTATATCCTATCTCTTATTTTCAACAGTCTCAAGCATTATTCAGACATGAAACTAGCACTAATTTCTACCCAGCCATTTAAAAATGTATCCCACATATCTATGTATAATCTACATGCTATAATTAGTAATTAATTGGTAATTTAGTAAATTTATATGCCGCCCAATCCTGTAGGACTCCGGGCGGCTTACAAATACAAGAGTAAAATAAAATAAAATATAGGGAAAAACAAAAACAGATTTAAAAAACAACACACCATGCACTCAAACCTAGATGGGGGCTGGACCTCATTCAAGGGTCAACAGCCCCAGGCCTGCCGAAACAGCCAGGTTTTAGTGGCTTTTCGGAAGGCCGAGAGAGTGGGAAGGGTCCGGATCTCTGCGGGCAGATCGTTCCACAGGGCCAGAGCAGCTACAGAGAAGGCCCTCTCCCGAGGGGTCACCAGCCGGCATTGTCCGGTCAACGGCACCCGTAGGAGGCCCAGCCTATAAGATCTTATCGGCCGTTGGGAGGTATGTGGCAGGAGGCGGTCTCGCAGATAACCAGGTCCTAGGCCATGTAGGGCTTGAAAAAACAATGTTGGGACAACTATCACCTGGATGACTGAGAATCTCCTTCTGCTTGTGTAGCAAAGTAAACGATAACCCTGATTAACTGTTTGTAAGACTTGTCTTAGAAATATGACTTGGAGATACAGTAAGGACCTGAGTCACACGCCATGCACAATAGCTTGGAGTTGTAGAATTCCTTTTAAAACAGATTTTTTTTAAAAAAAATATTTATTTAATTATTTTAATATTTGCAACAGATGATGTGTAGCAGTGATGGCTAACCATTTTGTCCTCATGTGCTGAAAGCATGCATTATGCCCACACCCATAATGCAATGCACACACTATGCTCCCTCTACCCCCGCGCATGCTCATGCAACCTCCTGTGCCCCGTTTTGGACCTCGCAGGCCTGCTTGAAGCCTCCTGGGACCAAAAATGGGGTGCAAGGGGGTGCCACTTCCCCATCCTCCCCCAACCCCCATGCATGCACATGCCACACCCTGCACATGTGCGTGCATCTCCCGCATGCACGGCAGACACCCAAAAATCAGCTGGCCAGCGGGAGGTGCATGCGGATGGCGTGGTGGAGCTGAGCTGGGTGACGGCTTGTGTGCCCAAAGAGAGGGCTCCGCATGCCACCTGTGGCACACGTGGCATAGATTCACCATCACGGGTATATAGAAAATCCCCATGATCAATGCTACACAAGAAAGGAAGTCTGATTGCAAGGGAAAGTGGTATAGTATGGGTTGATAATCACATTGTGTCAACACAATAATGTAATTTAAAGAACAAAGAACAAATCAAATCATGCTCATAAAAGTAATACAATTGCTATGATTTAATTAGACTTGACTAGAAATTTGGGGCAAGCAAGTGTTTGAAACAAGCATTGTGAAAATGCCAACTGGTAATATGTTGAGTACATTTGTCAAATGAGTTTGTTAGCAGACCGACACACTGAAGGGAAAGGAAAAGATTCCCGTAGAAACAAAAGGCAGCCAAATGACTACAGCAATAAGATCAAATTATTTGTCTTTTCAAAATCAAGGTGGACTAAAAGAGCAAATGCAAATGAGTCCTGTGAAATCATAGGATTATCTGGGACAAATTACGGGAAAGTAAATATAAAGTCTTTAATAAAATATCTCATAGCAGCAGCATTCAACCCAGTGAATGCACACAGGACATACTAAATCATATTGACATTTTTTACAACAATGTTTCAATAGGGAATCTCAGAAAATGATAGGATATTCACGTGGTTTTCTGGTTGGACATACTGTAGGTAAAGCATTATTTTCTTCTGTCAGAGTGTGCTCCCTCCGCTTCTTGCAAGATGAAACACAGATAAAAAAGGCATGACAGGCATTTTTTCATGAGCGGTTTAGTGTAGTCTAAAATCAGTAAATTGTAGAAAAGTAATGCAAGACATACCCACAATTAGCTGTTAGTATATTTTCTAGTTCCTGTTTTGGAGGGGTAATTAGGATGGCTTTTGATGATTCCAGCCTTAATCCATATATGTATATGCATATGATGTATATCATCATCATCATCATCATCATCATCATCATCATC